TGTGTGTGACATGCGTGTGACATGTATGTGACATGTGATATGTGTGTGATATGTGTGTGACATGTGATATGTGTGTGACATGCGTGTGACATGTATGTGACATGTGATATGTGTGTGATATGTGTGTGATATGTGTGTGATGTGTGTGTGATGTGTGTGACGTGTGTGCCATGTGATACGTGTGTGTGATACATGTGTGATATGTCTATGATATGCATGTGGTATGTGTGTGATATATGTGTGACATATGATATCTGTGTGTGATATGTGTGACATGATATGCGTGTGATGTGTTCATGCAGACATGATGTGCGTGCATGCAGTCATGTATGCCGTGTGTGCGTGCGTGGGAGATGTGTACAAGCGTGATTCGTGTATGTTCAAGCGTGACTTCTGTGTGTGGGATCATGTATGACGTCTGTACATACATGCTGTGTGTGTTCAAGCATGATGTGTGTTTGCATGCATGATGTGTGTGTGTGTGTGTGCAATCTGCCTGGGGACTCAGCCACCCTGGGCAGGGCACCCCAAAACCTGGCCAGAGAACCCCAAACCCCAGGTAGGGCCCCCCAACCCCTGCCCAGCCCCACATCCCCTCATCCCCCACCCACAACCAGCAGCTGCCCGTTGCTGCCCAGTTCCTCCCAGTCCCTAACTGGGCTCAGACCAAGACGATTCCAAGGGAGCCCCCCTGGAGCAGCCCCAGTTCCCTGGAGCAGCCCCAGCCCCTCGTGGGCACCGGAACAGGGTTGGCACAAGGCTGAATGAAGCCAGGTTTGTCGCAGGATCCGACGGATCCATTGGATACTCGGAGGTGAAGCCACAAATGGAGCCGGGCAGGAGCTCCGGGGCCCATCCTGCCGCGGTGCCCAGTGCCCGGCAGGTTTGGCAGCTCTTAGGCGATAAAATAGCTTTACACTTTATTAAATATATTAAATCTTAATAATTAAATAGTTGTGGAGCAAAGCTGGCTCTGCTGAGTGTCCCGTCCTGGTCGTGTCTGAACAGCCTGGAGCGCGGGGTGGATTTTGGGATGGCGGCGAGTGACGCGGGATGGAGCTGGAACACCTCGGAAAACACCAAAACTCTGGCAAAGACCCAAAAGGGCACTTCTTTGGGAAGGGGGTGCCGGCTGCTGGGCAGGGAAGGATCAGGCCACCACGGGACCCCCACCTCGGAGGGGTGCTCAGGCCGTGCTTGACGCCAGCCGCTCCTCATCCTGGGGAGCCCCACGACGTGCCAGGGTGCGGATCCGGCGTGGCCGGGGCGACGCTGCCCTCGGACCATCCTTTCCCAGTGAAATCCATCCCTCTCCTTCGGCGAGAGGCGCGCCGGGCACCGCAGCCCTGCCGGGGAATTCCTGCCGCCGCCGAGCCCGCGGCGTTCCCGCTGCCAGCGCCGGGCGGGCAGGTCTGGGCAGCTCCGGGGCTGGAACCGGTGCCAGGACGGTGCCAGCGCTGGGTGGGTGCCCCGCGGGCTCAGGGTGCAGCAGGGGATGGTTCTGTCCTCGGTGCCCCTCGTGGTGGTGTCCAGCCGGGGGGGCTCAGGGTGTGCCACCAGCCCCAGGCACCCGCTGCCCTCCCCGCCGGGCAGACGAGACGCGCCGGCGTCGGATGACGGATCCGGGGGGGGGGATATTTTTATAACCGACTGGAAGATTCCTCCTATGGTCTGGTTGTTTTTTTTTTCTTCCTATTTTTTCACTCCTTGCAAATCCAAACGGCTCCAAGGAGGGGTGGGAGAGGCGGGGGCTGTGAGCAAAACCCCTCTGAGACCGGAGCCATCCCGACCTCGGCCTCGCCGCAGTCCCCGGTGCAGCCCGTGAGCGGCTCCAGCACGTTCCCGGCGCTCACTGCTCCGGCTTTGGCTTTTCCAGGGAATTGTTCAGCTTCTTGAGCGTCTTTTTGATGCGCAGGGCGGTGAGGCGGGCGGAGGGGCTCTGGTACCAGCACTCCTTCATGACCCTCGCCAGCGCCGACAGAACCTGGGGAGGCACAAAAAGGGGGATAAATGGAATGGTTTAACAGGGGGCAAAGATCTGGCCTAGGGTGGGAGGGGGGCGGCCCCCCCGGGACTCACCGAGTCGGAGAAGAGGCGGTTGGGGATCACGGGGGTCTGCTGGTCCACACACACCACCTTCTTCATGTCCTCGAAGCTGGGGTCGCTGGGGACGGCGTCGAAGAAGGGCGGCCGATACTCCTCCACGATTCCTGCAGGAAGGGGGGCGGCGTGAGGGGTGGGGGATCACCCCCATCCTCTGCATCACGGGGTGCCCAGAGGGTCTGCAATGGCTGAGCTGCTCCCTGCCTTGGGGGGCACGGGGGGAATTGCCAGTGGGATGTGCCAGTGATGGTGCCCATGGAATGCACGGCTCTGGAGCTGCTGGTGGCTCTGGCACCAGCTCCAGCCTTGACACTAATCCAACCCCAGCCCCACCATGAACACCAGCCCCAGCCCCAGCTCCAGCCCCCAGCACTGCCACCACCTCCAGCCGTCCCCAAAAGGCCAGCTGGCCCAGCTAATCTGTGTTTAGTGCCTCCATATGTCTGTGTCCCCGCAGGGTTTAACCTCTGTGGGGTGCCCCAAGCCCTCACCAGCTCCCTGCACCCCAAGGCATAGCCCCCAAGCTTTGGGGTCCCCTGGAGTCCCCCCATCCCTGATGCCCCGAGGCCATCCTGGAGGGAGAGGGATTCTGGAAGGGTTAAACCCGGCTGGCTGAAGGTCATCCCTGCACATGGCTGGGGTAATTCGGAGTAAATGTGTAATCTGAGGGAGCCCTGGGGCCGTAAATGAGATTATCCCGGCCAGACTGTGCCTGGGGGGACCTCCCCCCTCACCCGCCAGCACCCACCATTTAATTAATGCTTCTAATGGGCTTTGCCTGATGAGCAGCGCTGGCCGGGCAGCCCCGAGGAGGTTCCTCCCCGGCGCGGGGGAGACCTCATCCCTGTCCCCATTCCCGAGTTCCCAAGCCAAGCCCCAGCGGCCGGAGGTCCCGGCCGTGGCCACTTTCCAGGCAGAGCTCGGGAGCTGCTTGTTTTCTAATCAGCGCTGAACAAACAAAGCACTGATTGAGCCTAATGGGCCCTTTAATCAGGGAGCCGGGTGCTGACACTAGATTACAGTGTTTATAATTTACAGCTAATCTTCTGGGCGAAGGAAAAAAAAAAAAAAGGCAACAAGAGAAGGAGGGAAGGACGGAGGGAGCGCGGAGCCTCGCGGGGAGCGAGCGGAGCCGCCGGGCTGGGATCCACTCACCGTTCACCACCGTGCGCCGGGTGATCTCCCAGAGCACCAGCCCGTAGGCCCAGATGTCCGTCTTCTTGTAGGACTCGAAGCAGTCGGTGCGGATCTGCTCGCTCAGCACCTCGGGGGCCATGTAGCGCTTGGTGCCCACCCGGGGGTTGTTGCCGATGTCCAGGTAGTCGCTGCCCTGGGAGTGCATGACAGCCAGCCCTGGGGAGGGACAGAATCACAGTCATTGGGGTTGGGAAGGACCTTTGAGATCTTCCAGTTTAACTATAAAAGGCCAGGGTGTTGGCCTTGGTCAGTGCTGTGCTGGTGCTGTGTCCCGGGATGCTGTGTCTGTGGGGCAACACATCCCTGGGGTACCACATCCCTGGGGTACCACATCCCTGGGGTACCACATCCCAGGGTACCACATCCCTGGGGTACCACATCCCTGGGGTACCATATCCCTGGGGTACCACATCCCTGGGTCACACATCCCAGGGTACCACATCCCTGGGGTACCACAATTCCTGGGTCACACATT